CCTTCCCTCCCTCCCTCCCTCCTCCCTCTTCGCAAGTTCGACTCCGTCCTGTCGTCGCTCTTTGGCATGCGGTTAGCGTTGCGTATCTTGCGGCCGCACTCGCTCACTCTCACTGTCTCACTCTGTCTCACTGTCTCACTGTCTCACTGTCTCACTGTCTCACTGTCTCACTGTCTCTCTCTCTCTCTCATCTCTCTCATCTCTCTCATCTCTTTCTCATCTCTCTCATCTCTCTCTCCTCTCTCTCTCTCTCTCTCTCCTCTCTGTCTCTCATCTTTCCGTCTCTCTTCTCTTTCTTCTCTCGCAGGAGGATCCGGGCAAAGAGCCACATATAAAGGACTCTTCACCCCTGCCTCCAAAAAGAGCGCCGTGTTTTTTCCTACCTCGCTGCCCTCCACTTTCCCATTCTGGAGCGCTAGCTTTCGCACCCCCCCTTGGCCTCAAGTTCTATTATTAAATCTAATTGTTTCTACTAGCTTCTTGTTACTACTAGGAAGGCACTTGTTACTACTAGCGTGGCACTTGTTACTAGTTAGTCAAATTCATCGCGCAATCTCGTGAGCACGTCGCAGATGGGACACCAGGACGTTGAGGGGTGGGATGCCCATCTGAAAAGGGCACCGCATGGTGAAGTCAAGCAGCGTAGGGCCGCAGACCCAGAAAACGAGCAACCATCAACCAGCTCAGGGGACCTGATTGAAATCTCATCAATCAACGAAAGAACTTGATCATTAGACCTAATCACTGTCCGTCCAAAACGACACTCTGTCAAGCCTGCTGCGCTTCGTGTGCCCAGCGTGTCCAGCTGAGTGACCAAGTGTTATCACAGTCCGTCGTTTCCATTCCTTTCCATTCTGCAATATGGGTTCAACCGTCAGTTCTGGGTTCAAAATGATCTTCTGCCGTTTGAGGATCTTTACCAGTGGAGGACCCCTATCAAATACGAAGCCATCTTCTTGCTGTGGTCACTGCAATTTCAGATCATAGCAGGTGCACCACTGGCGCAGCTTTCTGAAAAACCTCAGCAACGCATGCGAAGGTTTGGTCTTTGGCCAGGATGTACAGCCTTTCTAGAGGAGCAAGGACAAAATTCTTGTGCAGTGGACCAACATCCATCGAAAAGGGGACTGGTGCAAATGAAGGCAATTGCGAGTGCAGAGTGGCACGTTTTTTCGGAAATGCTGCTGTAAGGGGTCGCCAGAAAGGACTCCGTTTTGAGACCCTGTGAGGTTCAAAGCGCGTGCAGCTTTAGGAGAACACTTTTTTGCAATCTTTCGTGGGTGACGATGTACCTCTCGTAAAGGATCGGACATACTAACACACGAATCTTGTGATGAGCGCGCCAAGAGTGCTTCCAAAAGCACGTCGTTCCAAACTCTGGAAGTCGATGTGACAAACTGTTCGGTCCTAGTAGCGATGCCCTTTGCTACTAGTAGCTTCTTGTTCCTAGTAGTAAGGCCAGGAGCCCCTAGTAGCGTCCTTGCTCCTAGCAGCGATGCCCTTTGCTACTAGTAGCTTCTTGTTCCTAGTAGTAAGGCCAGGAGCCCCTAGTAGCGTCCTTGCTCCTAGTAGCGATGCCCTTTGCTACTAGTAGCTTCTTGTTCCTAGTAGTAAGGCCAGGAGCCCCTAGTAGCGTCCTTGCTCCTAGTAGCGATGCCCTTTGCTACTAGTAGCTTCTTGTTCCTAGTAGTAGGGCCAGGAGCCCCTAGTAGCGTCCTTGCTCCTAGTAGCGATGCCCTTTGCTACTAGTAGCTTCTTGTTCCTAGTAGTAAGGCCAGGAGCCCTAGTAGCGTCCTTGCTCCTAGTAGCGATGCTCTTTGCTACTAGTAGTTTCTTGTTCCTAGTAGTATGGCCAGGAGCCCCTAGTAGCTTCTTGCTCCTAGTAGCGATGCCCTTTGCTACTATCTTGTTCCTAGTAGTAAGGCCAGAGGAGCCCCTAGTAGCGTCCTTGCTCCTAGTAGCGATGCCAGGAGCCCCTAGGGGTGAATCCGTGGCGATATCACGTTCTTCATATGTGCCGTGCAGAAGAAGGGTGCCTTTGTGTTCAAGGTGGTGTGCTTGGACCTCTGAACATGCGGCTTTCATTACTGAACATTCTCGGGTTTGGCTCGTGTCAATTTGAAGTCGCTTTACTTGTGCCACTACCTGTCTCATTCTTTTGGAAAAATCTAAGAATAAAGCTGAGTTAGACACCAACATGTAAAACTGAATCTTTCAAGTGAAGGTGCATCATAGGCTCTCAGCTTCTTGAAAGACATTTGCAAATAGAGCTTTGGGCAAGCCAGCCCCAAGCCTAGTCCAACAGCTTTGACATGTTGAACCACACAAAGGATTCAATCTTTTGAAAACCTTTTCAACTGTATGGAGCAAGATGCCTTCCATGTGGGCGAACATTTTGCAGACAAGGACATTGCAGTGGGTTGCTGGATTTTTCTATTGCCGGGTGCAATCTTGCTGAATCCGACAAACCGCCAGAGTACCAGTCATGCCAAAATAGGAATGGGCGTTCCTACCCTTGCTAACAAAGGCAACTATATGTTTCTCAATTTTTTGTTAAACTTTGCTCATTTCACCCATGTCGCCAACATGCACAGGAGACTTCCAGAGCACCTTCGCATTACCTACGGTTGCTCAAGAGTGCTTTGCTTATTGAGCTACTATCTGGTTCTCTTTCGTGTTCGACGCCGTTACTCCGTGTTTTGAAACAACCACGGTTTACAAGAACGCTACTATCAACTCGAGGAGAAACGAAGGTAAAGGGCCTTTTTCTTAAGACCCCCTCTCAAATGAGGGCATCCTTAAACCCTTCGTTTTGTACCTTTTTTGAACGTATTTTCCCTTCACATGTTGGAAGTGCGAAGGGACAAAGCTGGGTTTTCTCTCAGGTCACAACCCACACCTAGGATCGCGGTCAAAGCCCAAAAGCCGCAGCCTTGGGCGTTTGGCTTTCATCCTTTAGCTTCATGTTTTCGGTTCTTCCAATTGAAATTTGATTCTCCTCAATTTCGACTAGGTTTGCATTTAGAGAGCTTTCACATTCACTCGGAAAAACATGCGATTGTTTCAGGTGAGAAGCTCCAACACATTGGATTTGATAGCCGAGTGGCTGCTGCAGTAGGGCTTTCAGAGCTTGCTGGCTTCCCAGCATTTTCATAGCCAGTAGGTTGGAGGCCATCGCTACTAGAATAAAAGGAAAAGGAAAAGGAAGAACGGTCTAACATAGTTTGCTATTACTTGCATGAATGAGGCTGCAACAGAACAATGACATGACCTCAGGCAGAAGCTCATCCAGCCCTGATTCGAACGGGTGGTTTGTTTTGTTTGTGAAAGAACGGGCCATTGATTTTGAGCCAAGGTCCTCATTGCTCGAGGAGGATGGACACATGATCAGTTGTGCGTGTATGTGTGTGTGTGTGTTTGCGCAACTTGCCCTGTTTGTTCTCCTACTCGAAGACGAGGTTCTCTCGAGAAGCTGCAGCGAGACACGTTCAGCGCTCAAGCGGACTCAATAGCCTCCAACCTAATAGCGGTGCCCTCCAACCTAAGAGCAATAGCCTCCAACCTAATAGCGGTGCCCTCCAACCTAAGAGCGATGGCCTCCAACCTAAGAGCAATAGCCTCCAACCTAATAGCGGTGCCCTCCAACCTAAGAGCAATAGCCTCCAACCTAATAGCGGTGGCCTCCAACCTAAGAGCGATGGCCTCCGACCTAAGAGCAATAGCCTCCAACCTAATAGCGGTGCCCTCCAACCTAAGAGCGATTGCCTCCAACCTAAGAGCGATGGCCTGCAACCTAATAGCGGTGGCCTCCAACCTAAGAGCGATGGCCTCCGACCTAAGAGCAATAGCCTCCAACCTAATAGCGGTGCCCTCCAACCTAAGAGCGATTGTCTGCAACCCAATAGCGGTGCCCTCCAACCTAAGAGCGATGGCCTCCAACCTAAGAGCAATGGCCTCCAACCTAATAGCGGTGGCCTCCAACCTAAGAGCGATGGCCTCCAACCTAAGAGCGATGGCCTCCAACCTAAGAATGATGGCCTCCAACCTAAGAGCGATGGCCTTCGAACTAAGAGCGATGGCCTCCAACCTAAGAGCCATGGCCTCCAACCTAAGAGCGATGGCCTCCAACCTAAGGTCGATGGCCTCCAACCTACTAGTGGTTGCCTCCAACCCAAGAGCGATGGCCTCCAACCTAAGAGCGATGGTCTCCAACCTACTAGTGGTTGCCTCCAACCTAAGAGCGATGGCCTCCAACCTACTAGTGGTTGCCTCCAACCCAAGAGTGATGGCCTCCAACCTACCAGTGGTTGCCTCCAACCGAAGAGCGATGGCCTCCAACCTGAGAGCGATGGCCTCCAACCTAAGAGCGATGGCCTCCAACCTAAGAGCGATGGCCTCGAACCTACTATAGTGGTTGCCTCCAACCTAAGAGCGATGGCCTCACACCTAAGAGCAATGGCCTCCAACCTACTCGTGGTTGCCTCCAACCTAAGAGCAATGGCCTCCAACCTACTAGTGGTTGCCTCCAACCTAAGAGCGATGGCCTCCAACCTAAGAGTGATGGCCTTCAACCTACTAGTGGTTGCCTCCAACCTAAGAGCGATGGTCTCCAACCTACTAGTAGCCTAAGAGGGATGGCCTCCAACCTACTAGTCGTTGCCTCCAACCTAAAGGTCGATGGCCTCCAACCTAAGAGCGATGGCCTCCAACCTAAGAGCGATGGCCTCCAACCTAAGAGCGATGGCCTCCAACCTGGGAGCGATGGCCTCCAACCTACTAGTGGTTGCCTCCAACATGGCCTCCAACCTAAGAGTGATGGCCTCCAACCTACTAGTGGTTGCCTCCAACCTAAGAGCGATGGTCTCCAACCTACTAGTGGTTGCCTCCAGCCTAAGAGGGATGGCCTCCAACCTACTAGTCGTTGCCTCCAACCTAAGGTCGATGGCCTCCAACCTAAGAGCGATGGCCTCCAACCTAAGAGCGATGGCCCCCAACCTAAGAGCGATGGCCTCCAACCTAAGAATGATGGCCTCCAACCTAAGAGCGATGGCCTTCGACCTAAGAGCGATGGCCTCCAACCTAAGAGCGATGGCCTCCAACCGAAGAGTGATTGCCTCCAACCTAAGAGCGAGGCCCTCCAACCTACTAGTGGTTGCCTCCAACCTAAGAGCGATGGCCTCCAACCTACGAGTGGTTGCCTCCAACCTAAGAGCGATGGCCTCCAACCTAAGAGCGATGGCCCTCCAACCTGAGAGCCATGGCCTCCAACCTACCAGTGGTTGCCTCCAACCTAAGAGGGATGGCCTCCAACCGAAGAGCGATGGCCTCCAACCTGAGGTCGATGGCCTCCAACCTACTAGTGGTTGCCTCCAAGCTAAGAGCGATTGCCTCCAACCTAAGAGCGATTGCCTCCAACCTAAAAGCGATGGCCTCCAACCTGAGGTCGATGGCCTCCAACCTACTAGTGGTTGCCTCCAACCGAAGAGCGATTGCCTCCAACCTAAGAGCGATGGCCTCCAACCCAAGAGCGATGGCCTCACACCTAGGAGCGATGGCCTCCAACCTACTAGTGGTGGCCTCCAACCGAAGAGAAATGGCCTCCAACCCAAGAGCGATGGCCTCCAACCTAAGAGCGATGGCCTCACACCTAGGAGCGATGGCCTCCAACCTGTCAAACAACATTTTTTAGAGTGCACATTGCGCGGCAAAGTATAAAAAAACTAAAAAACATGTTACTACTCGTAAGGCACCTGTTACTAGAAACGATGCACTTGTTTCTACTAGCGTTGGCACATTGTACGGCGTCAGGGACCTTCAGCTTCTTGTTTCTACTAGCTTCTTGTTACTACTAGTAAGGCACTTGTTACTAGAAGCGATGCACTTGTTCCTAGTAGCGGAGCGTTTTTTTTGGAAAACCTGAGGTGCCGATTTGTGCCGGACTCAAATCTCGACCAAAGCCACCCAGAGAGCCAATGGTGTACTTCACAGTGCCGCTAGCGCAGATTGAACAGCTAGATGAACAGCTTCTCACAGAAAGCAATGGTTGGAGATCAGAAATGCATGCCTGTGTAGTTCACCTTCGGTGATGGCCAGGATCAGCTGGGAAGGCGACAGGCCAGCCCTAAAGGACCCAAAGCCAGAGCCGCAGCACTTTGCCGCATCAAACACAATATATTATGTAAATAGCAAGATTGCAAAAGTTTCTTTAACAGGAACCATAGAAAGACTACCAGACAATAAATGTTTCTTTAATTCAAACACAAAACACCTTGTATCCAAATGCAACTTGTTTTTAACCAAGCAAGCTGAAAACGAGAAGAAACATCGATTGATAAGCCTCCTTACGGTCCCTGTCTCTCAGGTGGACTCCTTCGCAGTGCCAAGGCAGCTTGGACAAGCAGAGAAACTTGCGGCTTTTTGGTGGGTATGTCGTGAGGAGGGGAGGGAGTAGCTAAAGAAGTAATGAGCCTTTTCTAAGCAACATGTAACTTTCACTTGCACATACGTAAAGCGCAGTGCCTTAGCCGAGTATTATCTAATTACGTGCATCGGCATCAAAATCAGGTCCGACCATTTCCCTGCTGTTCTCTTCGGTGACAACAACTTCAGTCACCCATTCGGCCTCAAATTCTCGGACCTGGACTTCTGGACACAAACACCACTGCGTGGACACGCGTGCGAAGGCATAAAGTGGATATTCTTTTAGTCGACCCGTACGCCATTCACCTTAGCCGCCTCCTGCCTCCAAGATCCTCCAAGTCCAGACCTGTCAGAACGGTCAGATAATGTCGGGTGGCTTTATCGAAGTACCGCTGAAGAGTCTTAAAATGCTTAGTGTCGGACAACCCGTGTTTGCCAAATACTTGATTCTTCTTGATTCTGAATTGTTGTGCTCAGAATCTCAATTTGTCACAGTTCACAACTATGCTTAATGTATGCAATGGGTCATACAAGAGGTGCTACTCGGAAGCTTTGCTGAGAGCGGAACGTTTCCTCGTGTAACCTTGCCTTGAACCTCCCTTGTAGCCAGAGGCATATCATCCCAAGACTTAAACTGACAGAGCACGAGCAACAATGTAAACAATCAATGCCTTTGACAAATGTGAACAACTAGACAAGCCTAAGTGGCTCCGCTTCTTGCCGCCAAATTCCAAAGACCAGTGGAGAGAAGATTTCACAGAAGCAGTACTCGAGGGCACATGAAGGCTTAGTCACACAGTGTTTGCATGAAGGCTTTCCCGCCCACCTTTGGGACTCTCTGGCTCTCGATGTGTATTCATACTTGGGAAAAAACGTAGTTTTACATCATTGGAATCCGAATTGTGATTCACCTTTCTCGTCTTCACTCTCCTGTACTTCCGGAGCCAATACTGGATGGCCGCTCGCACCTCCTGATGGAAAATGAGCCGGTTGAACGTAGCATAGCATATTAGGTCCCCCACACGTGTAGCAAAATGCGTTAAGCCCTGTTGGACCAAGAAATGATTCATCAAGCGTTGAAAGGACGGCTTTGGACTAGTAGAGCGTTGAGAATTTGTTTGCTTCTAGATTGATTTTGCATTTTTTTGAACGATAAATGTTTGGATGAATGTTCCTTTCGGATATTTCGAAGCGATCAGGTCGATGGTTTGGCCTGAAGCACCTGAAGCTCAAGGCCAGCCTTAGGGATTTGGGATATCTCGCAAGTGACTGAAGGCCCAGAGTCTCATAGACTCTTCAGTTTTTTTGTTCTACACTTCTTTGGTTCAATGTTTATTGTCTGATATGAAGCCTGCAACATCCAGGTTCTCTAAAGCAGCAGCAAGCACCCTAGTTTGCTTCGGCAGTGTGCAGTTGTGCAATGTTTTGTCAGTTCAAGGTGGTCGTTGGTGCAATTTCTTTTGCGGGATGGCCTGGAGGCACAACTGGGGATTAAAGCGCGCTGAGCCCCTTTAGTGGGGAATTAGCTGGAACACTGCTTGTATTGTTTTTTCTTGTGAGTGTTGATCCCGGAAGTCGTTACTCAGCCGAGCGATTCGTGATTCATTTCGTGAGTCGGTAATCGCAACGTCTTGGAGCTTTGATCACGTCTTGGTATTGGAAACTGAGCTTAGCCCACACCACTGGGCCCTACTAGGCCCTACTGGGCTCAGTTTCGGCTTCGAGGCTTTGGCGGATGATGGCAAGATCATCGCAACAGCCAGAAGAGCGGAAGAATCCATGGAGTTCCTCGAAACACTGGAGGAGGGGGATGACTTTTTTAAACTCAGACTCTATTTTCGTTTTATCTGGAGGGAATTTCTACCACATATATAGTTTTCAGAGAGTTTTCACAGCTCTTTTGGCTCTCAGGACTACTCCATGAGACTCGGCATGGAGAAAGGAGCGCTCCTTTTTGGCTCCTGTTCAGCATATTTCGTCAGTCCTTTTTGGCTCCGCAGGAGATTTAGCTAGATTCCTGCTGCCAGAGACGGATGGACAGGCTTCCACCCTCGGAGACACTGGGAGCTTTAGTTATTTGTCAATTTTCTGCATCGCTACTAGGAGCAAGGACGCTACTAGGGGCTCCTGGCCATACTACTAGGAACAAAGAAGCTACTAAGGGCTCCTGGCCGTTTTGAGTTGATTGACGTCATCGTCTCTCATCATTTCTCATGCTCTCCAGGCAGTCTTGGAAGCGTCATTACCTTCGAACCTTGGCTTTGCAAGCCGCTTGCACCGAATCCGCTTTCACGAACTGTACAGTAACCATATGACTCTGTATGACATATTTCAAGGTCACAAGACTGCTGTTAAAATGGAGACCAGAATTAGCTGAATGGCAGTTATTGATATCATTGGGGATTCTTTAATTTTTTTGTGTATCAAATTCGCAATCAGCTTGTTTGGGGTCCTAGCCTTTGTCAATCTTACTAGACAGGAATTTCTTATCACAGGAGAAGACGAGAATTTGCTTTCTTCACACAATGCTGTTTCGCTTGGGCCGCCTACGAAAGATATCTACCTAGGAATAGCCGCCAGCTTGATGGCATTACCGAGCGAGAGCGACAGGACTTTGTGGGCGGAGTCCACTCGTGTTCGAGATTGTCATATGTCGATTTAGATTAATTGGACATAAAGAAAGAAAGATCGAACAGGGCAAAAGAGCACAGAAAAAGTGCTGGAGTCTGGATTCTACTTCAGCCGGCTTGCGTCTTACAGAGGAATGGGCTAAGATTCCCCAAGCTACTTGCCTCAGGTCCAAGATGTGTTATTACTACCCTTTGCAAAAAGGGGTATTTAGCATTTCGTGTTTTTTGAGGCATAGGCTGGCTGTAAAAGAAGGGCAAGGTTGTAAGCTGGAAGCTACAGCACAGGAGGAACCCTCGCTGTAATGGCTCCTAAAGGACATTGTGTGGAAACTTTTAGGTTGGCCATTGCTATTAGTTTCCATTGCTCCTATCCGTTGTTCTCATTGTGTGTGCTCCCTGTCCAATCGGATCGCTTTTAGGAGCTGGTGCAGCGATCTGTTGCACTGAGACGCCTGGTGCGAGTCAAGGTGCCCACCAGTGTCCGCGTTTCCTTAGTAGCGTACTTGCTCCTAGTAGCGATGCCCTTTGCTACTAGTAGCTTCTTGTTCCTAGTAGTAAGGCCAGGAGCCCCTAGTAGCGTCCTTGCTCCTAGTAGTAAGGCCAGGAGCCCCTAGTAGCTTCTTGTTAGCAACCGTTCCATCATTTTTGCAACATTGAACTGGGCGGACATCACTTGACACACATGAGATTTTACTCTGCGTGCCTTGTATTAGGAGCGAACCCCGACTTGTTTAGTTGCTTCTCAGTTGCTTACAAGGTCTTTATGATTTTGATGTTTTTGATTGTGCATGACATGCCTTTTGATCGTTCTCCAAGAGGTTGCCGACGGCGCGGACGTGGAGCAGGCAGATCTTCTCCTTTTTGGAAAACACATTGTGTTCGGTCATGACAAAGCGGGACGGGAATGGGTTGGCTTGACGCTCAGGCTCATGAATCCCTTCGCTTGATCGTTGAGTTTCTGGATGCATTGCAAAGGACGCTGCTAGCATGTTTCCCAGATGAATCATGCAGGAGCCTGGCCCTGCAGACAGAACATGTTTGTCTATCCATTTCACCAGCTTGTGGCCAGGGCAGCGGCTGAAGAGAGACGCTCATTGACAAGTATCCTGCGCGACCTTTGAAACAGAGATCTGAAATGATGAGACATGCTATTTGTGGTTGGACACAGTTGAAGATGTGGCGATTAGGCCAAGACCAGAAATCATCATCTTTGTTGCTAGACTCTAGACAGCAAAGGTCAGGGAGTCTATCGGCCGGTTCAAAGCGGCTGCAAGGACAAAATGGAAGCGGCTCCGACAGATTACTAAGCATATCGCATTCATTCCGCACAGTAGGCCATTGCTTCTAGGTTGGAGGCCATCACTATTAGGTTGGAGGCCACTATAGTATCTCGCTGTATCTCCCAACGTTTTGTCCCTTCATTGGATGCCACCAACACGTTGGGACCCTAATCGCCGCCCTGCACCGCCCTGCACCGCCCGCTCGGTGCTTTGCAACATGCTCAACGCCAATGGTTGCAACGTTTGTGTTGGACGCATCTTGGGTTTCTCTCCCTGTCGGACCCATGTTGATTAGCACATTGTAGTCCAAGTACGGCGCCCTCTTGAGCATGCGTGCCTTGCGCATTTTCGTGCTCAAGCAACGACATGAGCTAAGCGGTCAAGAACTTCACAGCATGCGCTTGAGGCAAGCAGCACTGCGCAGCAGTTTCACTTGGAGGTCGACTTAGCACAGCCAAAGCCCTCTATTGCAAATGACCCTTAGGGAGCAAAATTTTCAATCCATGAGCCAGGTTGGAATATTCTTTGGCGCTGGACTTCCAGGCTTGGGTCGATGTTGAAGTTGTCGGGTTGAACGTAGACCTTTTTCAAGCTTTCTCTTCACGAACTGGGCCTCTTTAAGTCATGATTAGCGGAGGTGCGCTTGTCATGGGCTCGGTGTTCATGAGTGCAGGCGTCACCTACGTGCATGGCTTCTGCCAGTGTGGCCGCAGCGAGTTGCGCAGCTGTTGCGGGCACCTCTGCCTCAGCGCCGGCGCCGCTGCTGCAGTGGCGGGGGGCCACTGTCGCAGCGGTGGCTGCGCCTGTGGTTGCAGCTGCGGGTGCTGCTGTGGCGTGGCGCCGTGTGGCATTCATTGCTTGCGCGGGCTCTCTGCACATCATCTCCTTTCAGGTTGTCCAGCCGTGCCTCCTTGGTTTGTCAGTGCTACCAAGGCGTTTGAACGTCTCACGCCTTTTCTTCCCCATTGTGTTCTGTCATTATGCCGCATCGCACCGTGTTCAGAATGCCCCTTTCTAGCGCGCGTGATTCCACTGTATGTCAAGCCAGGTCAGTTTCCACCTGCTCAATGACCGCCCATGGTGTGGATGCTGTTCAAGCTGCGGTGCCTCGTGGAGAGTTTTTTGGGTTCTCTCAGCCTGCCAGCCTCCCTGGTTGCCAACCGCCCAGTCGCCTCCTGCATCCAATTCAAAAGTCTCTTGCTTTCAGCACAAAAATGTTCCAAACCGTGTCAGTTCATGAGTCCGCTTTGCGGGGCCACCCAGGGACGAAATACATTGAGTCACTTTGATTCTTCAAGGCCGATCGGGGCCAAGACAGGTGAAACTCGGCGTGCAGCTGTTTACACTCACCCGTTTCAGGCTGTCACGCTTGCCGCAATAACTGGCAGACAGTTGGATCAACCGCAACAAATCCAAGCGCCCTGCAACATCCACGCAATTGCCCTCCGCGAGTGTCTTGCTCCCACGCTTCCTGCGCGTTGGACGGCTGAGAGGAACTCACAGAGTGTCGTGCTCCTGGCCTGAGCAGCGTTCCATGAAGATGAAGGCCTGGCCATGCTGGCGCCAAGGCAGGAACCATGTCATTCTCGCCGCCTGACCTTTTCCACGGCATCAGCGACTCAGTGCAGCCAACAAAGCAAGTTATACACGTAGTACCGCGCAGGGCGGCGGCGGAAGTTTCAAGATAGGGACCTATATACTATATAGGAAGAGGTGGCGCACGTTGCAACAGTCAGTTGCCTGTGGACATTGAGTACTCTCTCTCGGTCTGCTTGCTTCTGACTTACTCGCTTGCTGACTTACTGACTGTGGTGTGGACTGACTGACTCACTGATTGACTGACTTACTGACTTGCACTTCGCGCAATTCCTACCCTTCAGACACACTGATCTCTTCACTTGCTGACTTTCGGATCTAATAGCTCTCACGTCCCCTGGCGAGGAACCTGGCCATCAACTTTGAGCATGTTGGAAGTTGGGCTTCTAGACTTCCGTTGACAATTCGCGCGCAAGACGAAGCGGTGAGTGGTTCATCCCCGCAGTGGTCTTTGTTGAAGACCCGCTGCTGGCTTCATTGGTGGCAGGAACCAGCCACAGAGCACGCAGACACTTGGACTGCTGCGATGGTGGGCTCAGCCGCCGCGCTGGCCTCAAACCCTGGGCTGCAAGTCTGCAAGAAGCAAGGCTGCAATCTTGGAATCCCCTTGGATGATTTTGATGTAGGTGCAGGTCAGCGGCAGACTTGCAGTCATGCGTCATGCGTGTTCCCTGTCAGGGCCCCATCTGGCATGTCATGTGTCCTTCCAAGGCTTCCGGCTCCATGCATTTTGGAGATAAGAGGATGAAGAACCACCTCTGTTTGTTATGATGTTCGCCTCCGCGTGACGAGTTTCGGGCTGCGCCTCTTGACTAAGGTCATCGACCGACGCATGGCCAATGGCCTATAACTTGTCAACGTCCGCGTTGGCATTTTTCAATAAAATAAGACACTGGCCATTGAAGACCGCCAGCGTCAAGGTTTGGGTCATCCTGCGCCGCAACGTCGGTCCTTCCAGCACAAGCTTTGCGCCTCAATTGCCCTGCCAGAGGCTTTTGAACCCAAGTGTTGTATGCGCTGAGAGTATCATCTTCCTGTAGCCTCCCACACTGCTTCTGCCGACCATCATTCTGGACTTCTTAGACACCTCTCTAACATCCGAGCCTGGTTTGAAGTCAAGGCTCCCAAACAGCAATCGGTTCCTGCAGCGAGTCGCTGTGGGAAGAGGCGCGCCAAAACATTGAAACACATTACCGCAGGCTGTCTGAATGATCACTGGTGCTGTGTTAGAAGATTAGAGCTTCTTTGTGGAGTGGCCAATTGGCCAGCATCATATTGTTTATTCGTGTATAGGTATGGTTTCGCTTGGCTTGGTTCACCTGAATCCAGGCCACCTGCACGCTCTTCAAATTGATCTTCAAAGTTAGAAGCTCAGGAGCCAGGACAATTTGCGGCAGCGCCTCTAAACAGCGCACGCCCACCCAGGATGGAGCGTTTCATCGCAAGAAAAAGACAGCTGAGCTGTTCAGACACAAGACATGTGCACTGGGTCGAAGGCGAATGGTATGGTCAGCTACCTTGCGGCAGCAATTCCAGAAGATACTTGGAAGTTGGCTTTTGGGCTCATAACCATATCATTAGTGTGAGCTATCTTGCGTACTGGCTAGGAGCCCTTACTTAACTAAGTAGGCGCCTACTTAGTTAAGTGAGGACGCAGGGCCACGGCAAAAGAGCGGGCACAGAAGCGTTTCTATTCTTTTCAAGTTTTACTTGTTCCCCCAGTCGTGCTGCGTGTGGACGACACCAAGGGCGCTCTACCTTTTAGCACTGACGATGTGCGCGTGGGTTGTTGTATTCCTGGCTTGTGTTTCACTATGTTTTTCTTCCTGCCTGCCCACCGGAATTTGTTGACATAATGCTAGTCAAAATCCATGAATGTTAAACGTCGTGCAACTGTTTCCGCATTCTCTGCAAAAAGAAACAATCAATTTTTGGCCTGGGGCCCATGGTTTTCAGATGTGTTTCCATGTTTTTGATGTTTTGTCCAATGTGGAGGCAGCGAAGTCATGACTTGCACTCTGTGTTTTTTTCGCCGTTTGGCTTAGCACTCCCTGTATTTGCAGCCTTAGCTGCTGCAGGTGGCTGCGGGGTCAGGTTCCAATTGCAGTGTAAAGCATTCAAAAGACTTGCCATTCACAATCTGAGCTGCCAAATTGTTTGTTGAATCAGGGTGGCTGGCATGGACCAATACCAAAAGATTGAGAAGGCCCGACACTTCTTCCATGAAAAACCGATGTGCTCATTGTCCATATTTGAATCTGCGGCATGGCGAACCTGAACTGCATGAGCTAGCCCAAACACAAATACAGTGCACATCCACTGGTTCCGCTGGCCAAGCGCGTTGGAACAGACATGTTTTACTTGATGTGCAACACAAGGTGGGCGAGGGCACTTACGGAGTCGTTTACAAGGCCCAGGCAGGATATAAAACAAGGTTTTTATTGTATTATGATTATTGCAAATGGATTTGAAGATGTCAGATTTAGCTCAGCTAGCAGGATTCAGCGGGAGAGATTTACGCTTTGAAGACGATCCGGCTGGACGTTAAGCCCTCGATTGTTTTCTGGACGAACTCACAAGATTCACCTGCATTGTCCTGCTGCGCACTCTAGACTTAGTTTAACTATTCTGGTCTACCTTGCTCTGATTTTGTCAACCTCTTTTCACTCATAATGTTTTTCATCTTCCACACTCTAGACAGGCTCCAACCGCTTTACCCTACAATGTTCCACTGTACCCTTCTCTCTCTACTCCACTCTAGTGGAATCACCCAAAAGTGCAGGAATGTAGATTGGACAAGTTTTCTACCATGCCCTCTCACGTCTTTGTCTTTGTTTCACTGTCCTAAACGAAACTAATCCATAAAGAGTAAAAGAGCAGAGTAGGTGAAGGAAGACAAAGCAGAATGGGCGGATCTACTTTACGAGAAACGTAACCCATTCAATGTGTTTTTCTTCGTGCACTTTCTTTTATTCTATTGTGGCCGCTCTAGTCTGGTCTTGATTCTGATTCACTTTGACGGTGAAGAGCGAAAAGTGCGGAAAGGAGGTCGCTTTATATTTTGTAGCATCTGAGTAAGGATATGTGAGGGAGGCCATCACTATTTGGTTGGAGGCCATCGCTAATAGGTGTCTTTGTATTCTATGTTCTTTCCTTACAAGTACATATGCGGTAGGCCGTGAAGGCCGCTAGTAAGCGAACAAGTAGCGCCCTAGGCGCCAGGCGCCAGGATCCACCATCAGGTTTCCGCCTGAGGAAGAACTTGGTAAAAACATCTCAAAACCCTTCGCATGATTGATTTGGTTCCTTCCCTTTCGGACAGGCTTACTGCATAGAACCTGTGAATCAACAACCAACACTTGAGAGCATCACAGAGTACCGAACATCGCATCACTTTGCGATGGCCTCCAACCTAATAG